CTTTTTATGGTCAACAAGAGAGATCTAGATATATGTCCAACCCGACTTACTGTATCAAATGCTATGTTTATCGCATTCAGGACCAACTACTAACCTGCATACTGGTAGGTCGAAAGATTCCACCTCTGAAGATACATTACGATTAACCAGGCACAAAAATATGTCAAGTTCACAAAGAAGGTATTAAACTCGGATAAGGCTTGGAGGAATTTTACTAGAGCAACGCCCAATGCAGCTACTACAGCTTACTTTTGTGTTTCATCAATACCCAAATCCACACATTTTCTGGAACGCTATATCTCTTTACGCCCTAAATGTCCGAGAATACACAGCATATAGCGCAAAAACTAATGAAATAAAGTCTGGAGGAAAGAATACCTGCCTTTCGCACAATAAATATTTCATGTAAATAACAAACAGGCGATGAACAAGGGCCGAAACTGACCTTTTCAATCACCGCCGCTGAAACACCAGCTGGGTCGGTACTGACGTCTCCTTCATCACCATCAGTGCTCTTCTCTTCATGAAAGTCTAATTCGGCAAAACATTCAGCAAATTTTTCGCTCGTGCCTTCCTCAGATAACTTCATTGATATGATAACAGCCGACTTCAGCTGGTTAAGGAGACACGGCGTCAGACGGTGACGTAGATCCCTGCAGTCAGTCACCAGTTCCCCGGCCAGATTGAAGGTGTCGTCTTCGAAACAAGCCGACTCAGGAGAACTGCACAAGTCATTCACAAAACGCGTGAAATTCTTCAGCAGCCGCATGCTTGTGCTTGTCCAGACCTGCTGATTTTCTAGCCAGGCGGCCCAGACGGCGCTGCTCTTGGTGGTTCCGGCAGCCTGAACCGATCCATCCGAAGTTAAGAGCTGTTCCATGCGCAGGGCAAACTTTACGTAGGGACGCAGTTCAAGCAGGAAGGTGCGTTGGAAGGCTGCAAGAACCTGACGGACAGCAGCCACATTTGAGACAAGTCCCTGGTTGGGAGCAGCAGATGCGAGCTTACGGTTGCCTTTGCCTCGATTCTTCGCTTTGACGGGTGCAGCAGTGCCACTGCCACCGCCGTTACTGTCAGTAGGACAGGGAGCTGTTCTTTGTCTGTCTTCCGCGGCTAGAGCAGAGGAAACTGCGAGCAGACGAGACCTGGATTCCTGGAATTTCGCCTCCAGTGCGCGCAGGGCGGAGGACAGACAGTCGATTAGGCCAGCGTTTGGTTGCTGACCACCAGCAGCAACGGTGTTTGAAAGCCATTTAGATGCAGGCCAGTCCAAATTGTATTCGTCCTAAAAAGAATGTGCAGAAGAGCTGTGTTAG